TCTATATATTTTTTCGTGAATATGTACTTTTTTATGTTAATTTTTCACAAAAAATTAAGTTTTACTTAACTTTAGGCACTCACTTAAATTTTGCAAATTAATCTGCCGGAATAGAATTTTTCGTTTGAAACAAACATTATTCAATTCAGAATATATTTTCTTCACAAATTTTAATATCTTTATCTTTATTTTTAATAAAATATAAAAATTTTACAAAAAATTTTCATGAAATGAATTCGGCGTACTTATGGTTTTTGACATCTACGAAACTCAAATGCAAAAACAAAATACATGTAAAATCAAGGCGAATTCATATAAGGTGGTGTTATTCAATCAGCTGATAATTTTTTTCTTAATTCGCCTGGTTTACGTAGCTGTCAAAGTTTGTTATTGTTTACATTTTTATATTTAAAAATGTCCGTTAAACGGAGAAAAACGGAGAAAAATCTGAAAATACCAAGCATCTCGTAAACAAATATCATTTTATTTAAATAATGGCATAATTGGTATGTATACAAATATGTTATTTATTTATATTTTTTCTATTAAATGTTAACATATTACACAATATTGTTTTATATTTTATATTAAAATTGTGTAGATAACGTGATTAACTAAAAAAATCTCTTCCGGAACACTTAATATTATGAAACGCATATGAAGTATTTACCCGGCTGGCGGCAGCTGACTTCTACGTTATGGCTTATTTTTGAAATCTATTAAATGTTAATAAATTAAACAATATTATTTTATATATACACTATGTAGATAAAGATATTAACTAAAAAAAGTCTGTTCCGGACGCTTTATATAACAAAACCCATATGAGGTATTTACCCGTCCGGCGGCTGCTACATTATGGCCAAATATTGAAAATTACTCCGCCGGAGTAGAATTATCCATTCGCAACAAATATTCATTCATTCCTAATATAATATTTTCATGAATATGTACTTTTTTATGTTTATTTTTCACAAAAAATTAAGTTTTACTTAACTTCAGGTACTCACATAAATTTTACAAATTAATCTGCTGGAATAGAATTTTTTGTTTGAAACAAACATTATTCAATTCAGAATATATTTTCCTCGTAAATTTTAATATCTTTATCTTTATTTTTTAATAAAATATAAATATTTTACAAAAATTTTCATCAAATGAATTCGCCGTACTTATGGTTTTTGACATCTACGTAAACCAAATGCAAAAAACAAAATACATGTCAAGATATATTAATTATAAGGTAGTGTCGTCGGCGAATTCAGAAATACGGAGCGAATTCATTTTATTTTTTATATTTGGAGTTTGACAGCATGCCTACACTTCAAAGTGCCAGCACACTGTCAAACTACATATAAAAAAAATCAAAAGTGTATTAGCAAAAAAACAATCAGCTGCTCTGTTAACACTACCTTATAATTAATATATCTTGATAAATGTAAAATGTTGTTGTTGCAGAACTGCCACCACCTTATCTGAATTCGCCTTGTGTAAAATGTTGTTGTTGCAGAAATGCCACCACCTTATCTGAATTCGCCTTGGCTATGTGTTTCATTGCCTTGTGTATATTGTTTTTGTTTCTTGGTGCATTCAGTTTCGTATTCTGTTTTTCACCCAATTTACACGATGATTTTTTTCATGTTTGCCCAGACGTCTGTTTTCATGTTTGTCGATGATTGGTGGTGAGCGGGGTAGAGAAGAATGGGGGGTAAGAAAACAAACATGATTTGGGATTTTCATGATTGTTTTTGACATTCCTCTTTAAACTCATTCGTACTGTTGATATTATGCTCATGTAAAAAAATAATTGTCTTTTTTTTTACATAAAAACATTGAAATTTGTATTAAAAAAAATACTATAGCGTGTAATTAAATTTTTTTAAATCAAATTAAATGGTTTTTATGTTAAAAATTTCATTTTATTTTTATTACGAATAAGTAATTAAAAAGGATTATACAATTAAACATCAAAAAAAGACATGCCTAGTTGCATGTAAAAAATCACCGTATAAATGTTCATGATTTTTTGGAAGATTCTCAAAAGAGAATTGGAAAAAACAGACGTCTGAAAAGTCTTCATGTAAATTGCGCCTTTGCTTTTTTTTTTGAGTATTTCGTTTCGTATGTTTCATTGCCTTGTGTATATTGTTTTTGTTCATTGGTGTATTCAGTTTCGTATGTTTGGCTGTCTGTTGGTTTCATTGCGTTGTGTATTTTGTTTTTGTTTCTTTGTGTATTTCGTTTTGTATGTTTGGATGTCTGTTGGTTTTACTGCCTTGTGTATTTTGTTTTTTTTGTGTGTTTATTTCGTTTAGCGTTGTTGTTCGTTTTGTTATTGCTATAATAATGATATAAACGGGAAAATGAAATAAATTAAAATTTTATAGAATTGATATTTTGTAAATACACTGTGGTGGCGGGTATATAAGATTCGGCACAGCCGAATATAGCATTCTTACTTGTTTTTTTTGTGTGTTTTGTTTGATATGGGCATTTCCACCGAAGAGTATATTTTTTGTCACATCACGTCACGCACATTAATCGACAATATCTTAGGACCATTATTTTTTATTGGTCGCACATAAAAATATAAACAAATTAAAAATATGTATATTGTTTCCCTAGATATAAGCTGTTAATTGTGTGTGACGTGATGTGACAAAAGTTGACTTTTCGGTGGAAATGCCCATATGTTATTGCTAAAGTAACGGTAGAGAAGAAAAATGTAAAATAAATTGAAATGTTATAAAATTAAACTTATTTTAAACACACTATGGTGAAGGGTATTATTTAAGATGCGGCTAAGGGGAATATAGAACTCTTTATTGTTGATAAACAAATTGTTTTTAGGAAATCATAGTGTTTTTTTAAAATGATTTGTAATATGTGATTGAATGCACACCTCCAAACCGAATATAAAAATGAAAAAATAAATTAAATAAAAAAATCACAAATCTCCCCTTGACCCCCCTGTCCCTCTTTAATGATGTTTTGCAAAACCATTTTTGAAAAACATATTTTTTTTACATTACAGAAAAATATTTATAAAAAACTCACATATTTCTTAAATTTCACAAAAGTACCAAAAGAACACATAATTACCAGTTTTCCCGTTTAGTTTAAATTCCCTTTTCTCCGTTTTCCAATTTTTGAGATTATAGAACTCATAGTCTAAAATATTTTGGCTTTAGAAAAGAAAAAATCAGTCTTAAAGCACCGAAGTCGGCCTTTTTTGCCCCCTTCTGGACTAATATTCGCAACGTTACTTTACTAATACATATTATAGACACTTTATCGAATATAGCCAAGTATAGGCTATAATATTTTGGCTTTAGAACAGAAAAAATCTGTCTTAAAGCATTAAAGTATTCATTTTGCGCATTTTTGCCTCTTTGCCCTATTTTTTGTTCAATTTTCGCAACGGTACTTTACTAACGCATATTTCTGACACTCTAAAAATCAGTATTTTCACTAAAAAATACTAATTTTGCCCTTTTTGTCCCCCTCTAGTCCACTCTTTGAGAAATAATATAGCCAATAACACTCCGCAAGTATAGATCTAACTATGTTCCAAATTTTCATAAAATCGGTCCAGCCGTTTTGCCGTTATTGAGGAACAAACAAACATACAATATATATTAGGAATTATATATAAAATTCAAACAGACAATCTAATTGTAATACTATATATTACTCAAGTAAAGCCAGATACATTAGACCGACTCACTTTGTATGGAAAGCAAAAACGTAATTTTGTTACCCCACTCAAAATGTACCTTGCTTTGTTTTATGATGATTCCCAAAATATTTTAAGTCTAGCGATGGCCCTTCGTGAGCTGGACCAAATTGAAAAAAAAGTATTTTTGAATTATTTCTTTAAAATTTTAGTTTCGTTTTAAAACAATTTGTTTTTTTATATATATTAATCAATGAATTATTATTAAAATTAGTATTAAGTTATGAATTGTATTTTGAATTTGAATTAAAGCATTATTAGTAGATTAAGTTTAATTGTATTAACTGAATTGTAAAATTGAATTATACAAAATTAAGTACTATTTGAATTTTATATATTAGTAAATTAATGGTTAGTATCTAATATAAAATGAATTGAAAATAAGTACTACCTTAATATAATTAATGTAAAATATAATGATCATTAACTAAAAGATGTTAATAATTAAGTAGATAACAAATAATGTTGCTAACGGTTTGTTTAAGAAGATAAAAGATTTCCAACCAACTGTTCGGGTTTTGGAAAAGAAGTTAGGTGTAATTATAAAAATAGAATTTGTAATCTGTCACTTCTTGCTTGGCAACAAAACTATTCAGTTCATTTCATCCACAACAACCCAATAAACTTGAAACATTTATAACGTTTTTAGAAAAAAAGAACTTTTAAACTCTTTTCCTCAAATTGGTAAATACAAAATCACACATACAACAAGGTAAAGTAAAAAGAAAAAAAGGGAACACATACTCCTCTAAACCATAAATATATATATTTGTCTAATAACAATATCTCTTATTTCCCTCATAATTAACTCCAATAATTAAAATCACTTTCTGAGTGATTAAAATTATTCATTTTCTCCCAAAAAACCAAGGGTTCCTCATCCTCAAAAGGAGAAAATTTATTAATAATTTGTTTTATCTTTCATACAAATTATTTCATGGTCCTTCGAAGAAACTGATCTGGTCACCTCAATACACAAGTCAAGAGAGAAGATTAAAAACAACCACCAAAATCAACTCGATCAACATAATGAGGTAATAAAAAAGAATTCTCACACTCAATTAGTTCAAATTACATGTTGATGCTATAAGCATTAAACAAAGAAAAATAAGAAAAAAAGAAAGACAGGAAGAGTAAGTAAAAGTGAAAAAAAGCCGTCGGCATTGAAAAATCAAACAAAAAAAAATGAAAAATTAATAAAAGTAAAAAAGAAAAAAATTAAAAGTGAAAAAGCCGTCGGCATTGTGGAAAAAAAAAATGATAAAATATAAAGTTTAAGGTAAAAATTATAATTGAAAATTAAAAAAAAATAAATTCAAATGAAGAAAAAAGTGCCGCTATTTTCTCATTTTGAAATTAGTGGAATAGGAGGTCAAAAACAATCCGCAAAAAAAGAGTGTGAATTTATTTTATATGCAAAGAAATATAACCTACGAGTTCCAATTAAGGCAATCGTATTGTCGAGTGTTACTAATACACTACCAGCAGTTACGTTTAAAGTCCCATATTCTGCAGAACTTAAGAAATTGGACTTAGCTGACCCAAATTTTAATAAATCTTCCCAAATCGATCTTATTCTTGGTAATGATTATGAACATTGTCTGAATCTAGAAGGCATAAAGAAAAATATATGTGGCCAAACATCAGCCTATAAAACTATATTTGGATGGGTGCTTAGCGGACCAATAAGAGCTGAAACTGTTCAATCATTCTCAACTGCGGTTACTTCATCAGAATCTTCAGAACTCAGTACACTATTGAGAAAATTTTGGGAGCAAGAAGAAATACCCAAAACTCGCCTTACGTCAGAAGAAGATGATTTTGTTGAACAATTTTACACTCAAACAACTACTCGAAACAAAGATGGACGATATATTGTAAGGTTACCTTTTAAAAAAGAGTATCACGAATCAGTATATTTAGGATCATCTAGATTTATCGCATTAGCTCAATATGCCAGTATGGAAAAAACTTTAGGAAAAAATAATGAATTGCAAGCTGAATATAAATCTGTTTTAGACGAGTATTTAACTCTAGACCACATGGAAGAAACAACATCAACTGAAATTAATTATGAAGGTAAATTTAGCTCTTATTATTTGCCCCATCATGCGGTCGTGAGACCTGACCATAAAACAACAAAGGTGAGAATTGTGTTCAATGCCTCTAGGAAAACAAAATCCAACTTTTCTCTAAACGATGTTCTGTATACAGGTCCTACAATTCAAAACGACTTAATAACAGTAATTCTGAATTGGAGAAGATATAAATACGTGTTCAGTGGGGACATACAGAAAATGTATCGTCAAATCCTAATTCATCCAAATGATAGAGCATTCCAAAGAATATTATATCAACCTGAAAAAAATGGCCCTATTAAAGATTATGAATTGAAAACTGTTACGTTTGGAGTGAATAGCGCGCCTTTTCTAGCAATTCGTACGTTACATCAACTAGCGTCAGATTCAAAAGCGGAATCTCCCAAAGCATCATCCATTTTAAAGTATGAGACTTATGTAGATGACATATTAACTGGAGGGTTTTCAATTGAAGAAACTCGAGAGGCACAAAATGAATTAATTAAAACTCTGAAGTCTGCTGGTTTTTTACTCAAGAAAATAACAGCAAATGATACACAGTTATTGGAAGATTTACCAAAAGACGATATATATGATTCCGATTTTTTACGGTTTCATGAAACTAGCTCCACAAAAACTTTAGGCATAAAGTGGAACGCAATATCAGATACATTTACATATACTTTTTCAGCACTAAGTCCATCTACGAAAATAACAAAACGCCAAGTTCTGTCATCAGTCGCAAAACTGTTTGATCCAGCTGGATGGCTAGCCCCTATAGTCATCAGAGCAAAAATATGTATGCAGCAGTTATGGTTAGAAGGTAAAGACTGGGATGAAGAAGTTTCTGAGGAATCTCTACAAAATTGGAACAATTTAGTACAAGACTTATCTGAAGTTGAACTAATATCAATTCCCCGTTGGATTCAACTTATGCCTAATGATACAATACAAATTCACGGTTTCTGTGATGCATCGAAATCCGCTTATTGTGCCACTGTATACATTAGGTGTCAAACAAAAACTCAAAATGTATTCTCAAATTTACTAGTAGCAAAAAGTAAAGTTGCCCCTTTACAAACTGTCTGCCTCCCGCGCTTAGAGCTTAATGGCGCAGTGTTATTAGCAAATTTAGTTAATTACGTAATAAACTCTCTTAATTTCAGTAAAAGCGAAATATATTTGTGGACAGATTCAGCTATAGTCCTTGGATGGTTATCAAAACCACCTTCATCATGGGAAACTTATGTGGCAAACAGAACATCACGAATACATGAATTAATGACTAATGTCACATGGCGACATGTTCCAACACATGATAATCCAGCTGATTTGGGCACACGAGGTTGTAAAGCACAAAATTTGGTAAATAATTCACTTTGGTGGAACGGACCATCATGGTTAAAAAAACCATCATCAGAATGGCCTAAACGAAATATATTAAATAATAACCCAGAAAATAAAGAAATACAATCTCTAAACGTTCAGCTTGAAACGGATGACATCCTAGACAATTTTTCATCATATGGCAGAGCTTTACGGGTAATATGCTACATTTTTAGATTTTTCCATAATACTAATAAGAAAATGCGTAAAAATTTAAAACATAATACTCAAATTGCATTGACACAAAATGAAATGAAATTTGTAAAGTCAAGACTAATTGTTTTAGCTCAAAAAACATTTTATAACGAAGAATATCAATGCGTAAGTAAATCAAAAGATATTTCAAACAAAAGTACGCTGAAAAGTTTAAACCCATTCATAGATAAAGATTCAATTTTGAGAGTAAATGGTAGATTAGCTCATTCATCACTACCATATGGCGAACGTTATCCCATAATTTTACCTGGCAACTCCCGATTTTGCCAATTATATTTACACCATTTGCATGAGTTTCTCCTTCATGCTGAATGCGGTCAAATGTACCGAATAATACAAACTGAATTCCTCATATTCAGATTAAAACCTCGCATTAAGAAAATAATCCGTAACTGTAAAATATGCTTAATATATAAAAAGCAGCCATGCTCTCAGATAATGGCTCCCTTACCTCCGGAAAGATGTAATCTCTCTCTTCCTTTCCAGGTAACAGGTATTGATTTTGCTGGACCTTTTGAGTTAAAAACGTCGATTCTAAGAAAATCTCCAATAACTAAAGGATATGTAAGTGTATTTGTATGTTTTAGCACGAAAGCTGTCCATTTAGAGCCATGTTCAGAATTATCCTCAGCGGCATTCCAAGCTGCCTTCGCTCGATTCATTGGGAGGCGGGGGCTCCCCCAAAGGGTAGTTACGGATAATGGACGAAATTTCTTAGGTGCTAGTAGAACGCTGGAACGAGAATTTTCTGCGTTTGTTAAAAATAGTGCCCAAGATGTAGCGCAGAAATATATAACACATGGGTTTGAATGGAAATTCATCCCACCTCATGCTCCTCATATGGGCGGCCTCTGGGAAGCAGCCGTAAAAAGCTTCAAATATCACTTTAAACGAATTGCTGGGGCTCACAAATTCACCTTTGAGGAATTCGCCACAATTTTAGCACGAATAGAAGGAGTACTCAATTCCCGGCCTATATCAGCAGTATCAGAAGACCCTTCAGATCTCACAGCTCTAACGCCAGGACATTTTTTAAGAGGTGCCCCTTTGATGGCATTCCCTGAACAAGATTGTTCGAATATGTCGGTAATAAATAGATGGGAAAAGCTGAAGGTTATACATCATCAATTTTGTCAACGATGGAAAAATGATTATCTAAAATCACATCATAAAAGGTATAAGTGGAAAACCTCATCTCAAAATATGCAGGTTGGAGATTTAGTCATTATTATGGACGATCTACTGCCGCCTCACGAGTGGAATCTTGGCCGAATTGAAAAAACTTGTTCCGGTTCAGATGGTAATGTACGAACTGCCGAGATACGAACTGCTAATGGGGTAATTAAACGACCTATCGTCAAATTGTGTTACTTACCCTTTCTTAATCAAGAAGAAGCTCAGGTAGACTCAAACCTTAAAGTTCAATCCTCTATTTCAAAATAAAATTAAAATTTACATCTCAAATATCTTAGTTTATCTTTAATTTCTACCATAGCTTAAAAATGATGTATTTAAAATATCCTAATAAAAATTTATTATTCAAATTTCAAGGATGTTTGATGACTGATAACCCATATTCAAATTTGCAATCCAACCATTTCCCTATAATATACTAATTGAACTATGTTTTCCTTTTATCTGTCACCACAGCAGGTCCAATCGACGACTAACCGCCACTCGGGTCCCTAATGAAAATCATAGCCCTAATGAAGAGAGAAGCGTGGTACCAAGAGACTTAGAGGTGTTCTACTGTGTGATATGCACAGGATATCACGGGCTCAAGTTCTGTCGAAGATTTAGAAGGATGACGCCACAAAAGAGAAGGGACATAGTTGAACGACTAGGGTACTGTGTTAATTGCTTGGCTAGAAGCCACAGCATCCGGTCATGTACCTCAATGGAGGCGTGCTTAAAATGTGCACAATTGCACCATACCCTGTTGCACCCAACAAGAACAGTCAGCCCACGACCGAGAACTACCACCAGCAGCAGTCGACGCAGTCTCGATAACTCCGAGACCCACCAACAGCATCGTCAACACCAACAGCTTCGTCAACACCAGCAGCATCGTCAACACCATCGTCAAAACCGACAACATCAACCTCACCCTCATCATCACCAACATCGTCATTATCAACATCGTCATCATCAACATCGTCATCATCAACGTCAGCAACATCATCATCATCGTCAGCAACGTCATCAACTTCAACAACGTCACCCAACTCCACAACCGCCAGCTCCAGTTGCATCTCTTGCTACAAATACAACACCCGCTCCAGATCAACACATCTTGGCTGAAGCTATAAAATCGTTAGCCAACGTCCTATGCTATCAAAGCAAAAAGGAGTAAATAGGCAAGGTTCGAGGCCGGCGCCATGTTGAAACCAATATTTAATTGTTTTTTTTATATATATTAATCAATGAATTATTATTAAAATTAGTATTAAGTTATGAATTGTATTTTGAATTTGAATTAAAGCATTATTAGTAGATTAAGTTTAATTGTATTAACTGAATTGTAAAATTGAATTATACAAAATTAAGTACTATTTGAATTTTATATATTAGTAAATTAATGGTTAGTATCTAATATAAAATGAATTGAAAATAAGTACTACCTTAATATAATTAATGTAAAATATAATGATCATTAACTAAAAGATGTTAATAATTAAGTAGATAACAAATAATGTTGCTAACGGTTTTTTTAAGAAGATAAAAGATTTCCAACCAACTGTTCGGGTTTTGGAAAAGAAGTTAGGTGTAATTATAAAAATAGAATTTGTAATCTGTCACTTCTTGCTTGGCAACAGAACTATTCAGTTCATTTCATCCACAACAACCCAATAAACTTGAAACATTTATAACGTTTTTAGAAAAAAAGAACTTTTAAACTCTTTTCCTCAAATTGGTAAATACAAAATCACACATACAACAAGGTAAAGTAAAAAGAAAAAAAGGGAACACATACTCCTCTAAACCATAAATATATATATTTGTCTAATAACAATATCTCTTATTTCCCTCATAATTAACTCCAATAATTAAAATCACTTTCTGAGTGATTAAAATTATTCATTTTCTCCCAAAAAACCAAGGGTTCCTCATCCTCAAAAGGAGAAAATTTATTAATAATTTGTTTTATCTTTCATACAAATTATCCAATCCAACTTTGTAAAAATTCATTATGGCCCACAATTATACACCAAAATAAAGTGCAACTGTAATGCTTTAAAATGATGCATAACTATTGCCCTAGCATGAAAACTGTCAAAGTTATTTGCAACCATACGGAACCTCAAATTACCGCGTTTTTAAACATAGAACAATAATTCTACCGATCCTTCAATTGACCATTTTTTTAGACGAACACATTGTGCCACAAATGATATACCAAATTAAAGTGCAATCATAATGCTTTAAAATGATGCATAAATGACTGTCATAGCATGAAAACTGTCAAAGTTATTCACAACCATATCGGACCTCAAATTACCGCCTTTTTAAACCTGGGAAAATAATTCTAACCGATCTATCCAATTGCCATTTTCTAAAAATACATTATGCAATAAATTATATACCAAAACAAATGGCAATTTTAATGCTTTAAAATGGTGCATAAACGACTGTCCTAGCACGAAAACTGCCAAAGTTAATTGCAACCATATCGGAACCTCAGATTACTGCTTTTATTAAACATAGAACAATAATTCTACCGATCTATCAAATTGACCAATTTGTAAAAATACACATTATGCTACAAATGATATACCATATTAAAGTGCAATCATAATGCTTTAAAATGATGCATAAATGACTGTCATAGCGTGAAAACTGTCAATGTTATTTGCAGCCATATCGGAACCTCAAACTACCGCGTTTTTAAAGCTGTGAAAATAATTCTACCGATCTATCCAATTGGCCATTTTCCAAAAATACATTATGGAATAAGTTATATACCAAAGCAAATGGCAACTATAATGCAATAAAAAGATATATAAACGACTGTTATAACATGAAAACTATAAAAGTTATTTGCAACCATATCGGAGCCTTAAATTACCGCATTTTTGAACCTGTACCAATAAATATACCGATCTATCCAATTTTTGTAAAATTTCATTATGCCACAAATTATACACCAAAATAAAGTGCAACTGTAATGCTTTAAAATGATGCATAAACTATTGCCCTAGCATGAAAACTGTCAAAGTTATTTGCAACCATATCGGAACCTCAAATTACCGCGTTTTTAAACATAGAACAATAATTCTACCGATCCTTCAAATTGACCATTTTTTAGACGAACACATTGTGCCACAAATGATATACCAAATTAAAGTGCAATCATAATGCTTTAAAATGATGCATAAATGACTGTCATAGCATGAAAACTGTCAAAGTTATTCACAACCATATCGGAACCTCAAATTACCGCCTTTTTAAACCTGGGAAAATAATTCTACCGATCTATCCAATTGGCCATTTTCTAAAAATACATTATGCAATAAATTATATACCAAAACAAATGGCAATTTTAATGCTTTAAAATGGTGCATAAACGACTGTCCTAGCACGAAAACTGCCAAAGTTAATTGCAACCATATCGGAACCTCAGATTACTGCTTTTATTAAACATAGAACAATAATTCTACCGATCTATCAAATTGACCAATTTGTAAAAATACACATTATGCTACAAATGATATACGATATTAAAGTGCAATCATAATGCTTTAAAATGATGCATAAATGACTGTCATAGCGTGAAAACTGTCAATGTTATTTGCAGCCATATCGGAACCTCAACTTACCGCCTTTTTAAAGCTGTGAAAATAATTCTACCGATCTATCCAATTGGCCATTTTCTAAAAATATATTATGCAATAAGTTATATACCAAAGCAAATGGCAACTATAATGCAATAAAAAGATATATAAACGACTGTTATAACATGAAAACTATAAAAGTTATTTGCAACCATATCGGAGCCTTAAATTACCGCATTTTTGAACCTGTACCAATAAATATACCGATCTATCCAATTTTTGTAAAATTTCATTATGCCACAAATTATACACCAAAATAAAGTGCAACTGTAATGCTTTAAAATGATGCATAAACTATTGCCCTAGCATGAAAACTGTCAAAGTTATTTGCAACCATATCGGAACCTCAAATTACCGCGTTTTTAAACATAGAAACAATAATTCTACCGATCCATCAAATTGACCATTTTTTAGACGAACACATTATGCCACAAATGATATACCAAATTAAAGTGCAATCATAATGCTCTAAACTGATGCATAAATGACTGTCATAGCATGAAAACTGTCAAAGTAATTCACAACCATATCGGAACCTCAAATTACCGCCTTTTTAAACCTGGGAAAATAATTCTATCGATCTATCCAATTGGCCATCGTCTAAAAATACATTATGCAATAGATTGTATACCAAAACAAATGGCAACTAAAATGCAATAAAAAGATGTATAAACGACTGTTATAACATGAAAACTATAAAAGTTATTTGCTACCATATCGGGGCCTTAAATTACCGCATTTTTAAACCTGTACCAATAAATATACCGATCTATCCAATTTTTGTAAAAATTCATTATGCCACAAATTATACACAAAAACAAAGTGCAACTGTAATGCTTTAAAATGATGCATAAATGACTGTCATAGCATGAAAACTGTCAAAGTTATTCACAACCATATCGGAACCTCAAATTACCGCGTTTTTAAACCTGGGAAAATAATTCTACCGATTTATCCAATTGGTCGTTTTCCAAAAATACATTATGCAATAAATTATATACCAAAGCAAATGGCAATTTTAATGCTTTAAAATGGTGCATAAACGACTGTCCTAGCACGAAAACTGCCAAAGTTAATTGCAGCCATATCGGAACCTCAGATTACCGCGTTTATTAAACATAGAACAATAATTCTACCGATCTATCAAATTCACCAATTAGTAAAAACACACATTATGCTACAAATTATATACCATATTAAAGTGCAATCATAATGCTTTAAAATGAAGCATAAATGACTGTCATAGCATGAAAACTGTCAATGTTATTTGCAACCATATCGGAACCTCAAATTACCGCCTTTTTAAAGCTGTGAAAATAATTCTACCGATCTATCCAATTGGCCATTTTCTAAAAATATATTATGCAATAAATTATATACCAAAACAAATGGCAACTATAATGCAATAAAAAGATATATAAACGACTGTTATAACATGAAAACTATAAAAGTTATTTGCAACCATATCGGAGCCTTAAATTACCGCATTTTTGAACCTGTACCAATAAATATACCGATCTATCCAATTTTTGTAAAATTCATTATGCCACAAATTATACACCAAAATAAAGTGCAACTGTAATGCTTTAAAATGATGCATAAACTATTGCCCTAGCATGAAAACTGTCAAAGTTATTTGCAAGCCATATCGGAACCTCAAATTACCGCGTTTTTAAACATAGAACAATAATTCTACCGATCCATTCAAATTGACCATTTTTTAGACGAACACATTATGCCACAAATGATATACCAAATTAAAGTGCAATCATAATGCTTTAAAATGATGCATAAATGACTGTCATAGCATGAAAACTGTCAAAGTTATTCACAACCATATCGAACCTCAAATTACCGCCTTTTTAAACCTGGGAAAATAATTCTATCGATCTATCCAATTGGCCATCGTCTAAAAATACATTATGCAATAGATTGTATACCAAAACAAATGGCAACTAAATGCAATAAAAAGATGTATAAACGACTGTTATAACATGAAAACTATAAAAGTTATTTGCTACCATATCGGGGCCTTAAATTACCGCATTTTTAAACCTGTACCAATAAATATACCGATCTATCCAATTTTTGTAAAATTCATTATGCCACAAATTATACACAAAAACAAAGTGCAACTGTAATGCTTTAAAATGATGCATAAATGACTGTCATAGCATGAAAACTGTTAAAGTTATTCACAACCATATCGGAACCTCAAATTACCGCGTTTTTAAACCTGGGAAAATAATTCTACCGATTTATCCAATTGGTCGTTTTCCAAAAATACATTATGCAATAAATTATATACCAAA